GTAAGAAATAACACTTTAACAACAGTCAAGTAAACACAAATTATTGAAAATTTTTACAAGTATTCAAGTGTAAACAGTAACAGAAAGAATAATGAACTGAAAACGATTGCACAGAAAAAATTATACAAAATTTTCCTTTTTCTTAGGTTATTACACTTAAGGATAGAATCGAAGAGTACTAATTACCGATAGAATCTAGTTGTAAGCATGTAGCAGTTTACACGTTTAATCATCCAAAGGTTAACCAACAGCCGAAGACAACCAAGCTGAGGAACAATAAAGTAGAAACCGTCGCAATACCCCGGATTTACAGAAACCTGCACCGATTGATACAATCAAAGACAGCTTTTGTTTGAGGAAATGTATCGTACAACAGCACTAGCAAGGAAAGCAAAGTACAAGTAGCGTTACTAAGCATCACATTTTTTTAATTTTGAAACAAAAAATGAAGAAAAGTGATAAATTTGCATAGCTTTGTACTTTGCTTTCGCGACACAGACTGTATGACAAGAAAAAAACCGTTGTATTTTGCAAAATACACCTTGTCACCTTTTTTTATCAGACGGTGTATAGTTATGGGCAGTAGTAAAAACAGACAGTGGTTTGAAAGCAACTATTTTATAAGCTGCAGTGGTCATTGAAAAAGGAAGAAAAAATTGTGGAACGATGGAATGAGGTAGCTTTCCAAGAAGTGCATTTGGTAAAGAATAGAAGTTTCATTCAAAAGATTTAAATGGTTTTCTCTAAGAAGCGTGCCAGAAAATTCTGTCGACGAATCAAACGTTCTGCAAAATTGTTTTCGCAATTTCCATCACTGTACCACCATTTCCTGATGTTTGGTATGGTTTTTTTCACACCGTTATTCCGAAGAAGAAATTTGCATAACTCACAACCGGGACCACGAAAGACAACTTTCCATTCCTTCATCCATTCAAAATATCTAAAAAATTTATACTGCTTTGTTGGCAGCCATTCGGAATTTTCTAACTTACCTATTAGGAAACAGACAACAATAACTTTATCAGTTTGCTATTTCAGTAATAATCTTTGAATTTCTAAACAAAAAACTTTTAGCAGCGCACGTTTGCAGTCGAGCAGATAAAATTAATTTTTTTGCTGTGCTGTATTGCAATATCTTTTTCTATGAATTTTTCAATGCAAATTGATCACCGAAGAAGAGGTTTAGTAGAAAATTGTAAAGTGCTGAAAAAGGTTAACATTTATTGCAAACTATTTATATATTCTATTACAGAAATGAAAGCAAAATTGTAATTAAACTAAGCTTCATGATGTCATGTTCATAGTTAAATTTGTTGCTCAGCACAGTTGCCTGAGAAACAACAAAACAAAAAATATTGCTTTTTAAAATGTATGCAAAACAAAAAAAAAAAAAAAAAAGAAAACAGTAATTCCAGAAAAAGAATAGTTTTGAAAGCTGATATTTAAAGTAATAGTTGCGCAGTAACGATTAATCTTAAAATGTCTGAGCGTTTCTCGTAAACAAACTCAGTCTAAGTAACGGTTTACCTGTAATTTTTTCACTGTAGACCATGGTCTAAAACCGAATTTATTTCAACACAATTTGTCAAATAAAGAATTTTTTGTTTTTTATAGAAGTTATTCTAGATTTTATGCCAGAACAACATGTGCTGCAACTGATAATTTATATCATTTATATAAGGCAATTAATTTCTGGTATTTTCATTTGAGCTTAAAATAAAATAAAAATTTATAATAGTTTTGACTGCAAACTAAATAAGACATTCGTTTTGCTTTTTTTTTTTTTCAAACTGCTTTTTAAATAAATTATTTATGTAAAATAATTAATTTGTAATTGCATAAATGATTTTTCAAAAAACACTGTTAGCGGTTACTCATTTATTCACAGTTTAAAGTGAAAACCTGAAAACTTTTTTAGTATAACACAATCTCATAATTATATTTTAGAACTGTAACCCCGAAAAATTAAAGAACTTATGACAGACATTGTTTTCGGTGTCACTTTCTTCTTAGAAATTTTTCTTTATGCAATAAGTTTTATTACCGAGTTTTAAATAATATTCTCTACTAGAAAAGAATTTCTTAAATTTAAATTAGAAATTAGTAATAAAT